GCCAGCGCCGGGCTCCATCCCCGCACGGGCTGGCATGGCGGCAGGGCGAGGGCAGCAGGGACAGGGCCTCCTGGGGCTTTTGAATCATTTGGCAGCTAAAAGCATCTCCGTAAAGCAAGCGAAGGGCCCACGCGGGCACTGTGGGGCTGCCGATCTGGCAGGCACCAGGAGAGCAGAGGCACCAGCCCGGAGGGACGCATCAAGACAGCGAGAGGCTTTGGCCCATACAAAAAACCTGCTTTTTTGTTTTTTTATGAGGAGAGGACAATTTGGCAATTAGGAAAAGACATTTGGTTCATGGCTACACCAGGAACTGGGCAGCACTTAGAGAGGGCAGGGTCCATTTCTTGCCAAGCAGAGCTGCTTTGGAGGAGCGCAGCGAGCGCCTGGGGGGCAGCGGCCGGGCTGCACATGCAGGAGAGGGTGGTTATTTGGGGCGGGAGGGACGGGAGCGCCATCACCCTCAGCAGAGCAAAGCAGCCGGAGGGAGAAGGATGGGGCTGAGGGCTGCATCGGCCCCTCTACCCTGCTCAACCATCGCCACACCTGGACCTGCACCGTCCAGCTCCGCTCGCATGGCCACCGCTGTCCCAACCTCCAGCTCTGGCAGCGCCGCCTTCCCGGAGGCCCCGAGGAGCCCCGCGTGCTCCAGCTCTGCGGAACGAGCTCCCCGCGCGCACAGCACGAGCGCCGCCGATGCCTGCGCGGAGGAGCCAGCAGCCACCAGTGTCCCGGCCTCGTCCCGTCCCGGCGGTGAAGCACCACAGCCACAGCGCGTGCAGGGGGCACCCTTGGAGCTGCCAGCACGTAACTGCCAGCTTAACTCATGCTGGCAGCTGGAAGCTGGCCCTGCGCTGCGTTTCAATATTCGCACATTGCGCAGCCCCCTCGGCTGCGGCTCTTGCAGCGCTCGCAGCCCGTCCTACCCTGGCGCGGGGGACACGGCGCTCCTCGCGCTTGCGTGCCCATGGGGCACAGATTCGCCCCGCGGAGAGGGCGGCAGCAAAGGCTGCAGGGCACACGGGGCTCCAGGCACCTCGCTTGCGCCGGCTCCAACCCTGCAAACACCTGAGGTGTGGGCAAGAGGGCAAGGGGAAATTTCTGCTTCTCTTTCATATTGACTGATTTCCTTCAATCCCCCAGGGAGGCCACGAGAGACTTGCTCCTGTCCCCAGCAAACAGGGTATAGGCAGGAAAAGCTCTCGGAGGCTGCAACAACTGGCTGGGGGCTTCCCGGGGCAAAGGTGGCCCTGGGCGGCCCCCTGTGTCATGTGACTAAAACAAGTCCATGTATGTGTATATCTTTATATATACAGCATATAAATATATATACACACACATACTGTATATACACACACGCACACCTAGAGTTCCCGGTACGTAAATAAATATATGTCGGAGCAAGATGGGACGCACTCGGCAGCGCCGAGCGCCCTCCCTGCTCCCACCTCTCCCCGCTGCACCCCGTGTCCCAGCGACAGAGCAGGCGGGCTCCTACCTGCGCCCCGGCCCTTCTAGCGGCGCGGCCGATCCTGGGGGTCCTGCGCCGGGCGGCAGCGAGCGAGGAGGGGGCTGCGCTGCGGGGCTGCCGCTCGTGCTGCCCGCCTGCAATCAGGTGCTTCTCTGTGCAGAAAAAAAAAGTGATAGTGATAAATGAAAGTCGACAGATTTTAATTTTTTTTTTTTTGCACAAAGACTTTTTTTTCCGTTCCGTTTGGTTTGTGGTTTTTGTGTGTGTGTGTTTTTTTTTTTCTTCGTTTCCCCTGCGTTTGATTTTGGTTCTGTTTCATTCCCAGGCGTGGCGAAGAGCATGCATTGGAGAGGGCAGGACGGCGGGGGGGCCGCGGCGAGGGCGCCTTCTAGCACTTGTCGTCTTCCTCGGTGTCGCTGAGCACGTCGATGCTGGCCCCACACATCACGCCCTGCCCGGCCCCTCGCCGCCTCCGCCGGTAGTGCCCGTTGGGCATCTGCCAGCTGTGCCGCAGCGGCGGCGCCGAGG